AATCGCGGCGTCCGCCGCGGGGCACATGACTGCGGGCTCAGCCTCCGCCCCGCCCGCTTCCCCGCGCAGCTGCTTGCTGGCCGTCGCCTCCCGGGGCTGCGGCGAGCCGGGTCGGCGAGCGTCACCGCCCTGCACGCTCCCTCTGTCCCTCCCGACTGCGCGGGGCGGGCGCCCGACTGCCCGAGCGAGGGAAAGCGAAAGCGAAGCGGGTCGTTCCCCTCCCCGGCGGCCAGCCAGGTGCACGGGAGCCGGGAGCCCAGCCGCGGAGCCGGGAGCCGCGGGCGCCGCAGGGTCGCGGGTGTTCAGGCCGCTGCAGCGGCGGCGGCCCCTCCCTCCTTCCTGCGCCGGCGCCGGCCGGCGGGGCCTGGCCCGGTAGCGGCGCGCAGAATGGGCAGGTGCTGCTTCTACACGGTCGGGACGCTGTCCCTGCTCCTGCTGGTGACCAGCGTCACGCTGCTGGTGGCCCGGGTCTTCCAGAAGGCCGTGGACCAGACGATCCAGAAGGTGAAGCGGGCGGGCTGTGTGTGTGTGTGTGTGTGTGTGTGTGTGTGTATGTATGCGGGCGGGCTGGTGTGCGCGCTCCCGTGTTGGGCGGGGGACACCTCCAGCCCACCCCCCGATGCTGAACCTCGTACAGGGAATCTCTGCACCCTGGCAGACCCTCCGGATACAGCCCTCCTTTCTTAGTTGTCTTGTCGGGGTAGATAGGTAAGGGTTAAAGAAGGATGGAGAGGAGTAAGATAAAACTGTGGATCTAGACTTTTTAGAAAGGTTTTCACTTACATTCTATCATTTGCCTCCCCCTCTACGCCCTCCCTACGCCCCAGTCTCTCCGGCCCAAACATATTTCCCTCCCACTTAATGAAAAAACAAGACTAAACGAAAAACACTACAGCCCAGGCAGGTTTGTTGGCTGCTTGCTGACCTTTGAAGTGGTGTGGGGCAGGGGATGCCAAGCGGCTGTGCGATCTATTGTGTTCTTGCCTTCCTGGACTGGGCAGGGCTGTTGGTAGGGAGGCCAGGCCTCTGGGCTGGGTGACATTTCAGTCCATCAAAGTCTGTGCTGGTTTCCCTCCGACTAAACATGTGGTATCTCATACCAACAGTCTGGGTTGCTTTGTCTCACCATGGATTCGTGCTCTTCTTAAATAACTGTAAGCTTCAGGCAAGGATGCATTTAGATTCTGAAAGAATCTGAACCTGTCTCTTACCCTAGATGGGTGGGTTGGAGAGCTGGTCATTTCAGATTTCTGAGTCATTTGACTTTCCCAGTGCTCATTCCTTCTGCCTTTCACCCACATCCACCAATCTGTGTGGAAAGAGGAACAAGAGAGAGTTACTGGGATCACTTTTTCTTTAAAAAAAAAAAAAAATCATTGGAGCAGCCTTTCTTGTTAGCACCCATAGCCCCATGGTTTGCACTTGCTGTTGCCTGGATTAAAAAGCCAGTTTGATCACCGAACTCCCAGTTAGTCAAGTTGTCTCATTCAGGTGGCAACAGACATATTCCTTTAATAGAGGTTGCCAAAAGCCATCAATTACTTGAAATCTGGCAGTTAAAGGCAAATTAAAAAAAAAAAAAAGTCATGGTAAAGCATAATTTAATTTTAAAGTTCACGTTACTGTGGGAGGATGAAGCTCACTGTCTGAACTTCTCAAAGACCACTGTTTTCCCTGAGCACCCATGTTCAAGGAAAAAACCAAATATAATCTTCTCTATTTCTGGCCACTTGCAAATCCATGGCAAGATTATTTAAGGATATAAACTCTTGGGGCGCCTGGGTGGCTCAGATGGTTGGGCGTCTGCCTTCGGCTCGGGTCATGGTCTCGGGGTCCTGGGATCAAGCCCCACATCGGGCTCCCTGCTTGGCGGGGAGCCTGCTTCTCCTTCTCCCTCTACTGTTCTCCCTGCTTGTGCTCTCTCGCTCTCTCTGCCAAATAAATAAATAAAATCTTTAAAAAGAAAAAAAAAGTTTCAAAAAAAGGATATAAACTCTTGCTTGGATGACCAGAGTTAAGCAATCCAATTATAGTCAGTATGTGAATCTTCTTGTGTGGTTTTAAAAGGCTGTTTCCAGAGAGCCCCATGAGATGAGTGGTCTCCCTGGTGCCTTAGATATTACCAGCCCTCAGATGCTCTGTGGGTCTCCATTTCATGGGCAGGTAGGGAGGTGGCTGTAAGGCAGCTTGCCTGAGCCTTGAGTTTGCATTGATAGTTGATGATTGGCTTTTTTATGTGGTCTTCTCTGTGAGGAATGGACTCTGATCAGACTAATAAATTATAGTACAGGGGAAGTGGATTTTCAGAATTGCCCCACCCCATTATGGAACACTGAACAGCATGGCGTATGAAATTAGATGACAGGGCTAGTTTCAGCAGACAGGAATATTGTAAGTCAGCCAGAGGTCACGCATTACCATCATTACCATTCCCCTCTCCTGGGTCACCTGTAGAGAGGTAGCATGGGATAGTGGGACAGAGTAAGGACTCTGCAGTCCACACTCCTCCACATGAATCCTGGCTCCACCATGTACTAGCTGGGTGACTTTGGGCCAGGTGCTTCACCTTCCTTGATTCTGGGCCTCCCTGTCTGTAAATGGGAATAATAACAACTCAGGAGAATAGAGAGGTTATAAGAATTATCAGGGAAAATGGGTAATTTTCATTAGTTTCATTAGGATATAGTTAGTGCTTTGTAAAGAACTTTTGTTTTTGTTAGAAGCCACGTGAGTACAGACAAAATACATGAGATTTGGGGTCAGACACCCTGTGTTCAAATCCCGACCTTACCGTTTGCAAGCTTTTTGATTCTGGTCAAGTTACTTAACCTCTCTGAGCCTCAGTTTCATTACTTGGGCAAGTGAGGATGTTAGCTATCTTAGGCACAGTGGTGCATTTACTGGGAAGCACACAAAACTTATGCTTCAGGTCCTCATTTGCACAGGCCCTTCCAACACTCGGTACCTAATTCTGTATGCAGAATTTTCTTTTTTTTTTTTTTTAAG